AAAAGTTTCCTGCAACTTTTAAAAATAAGAGGTAAATTGTTTTGACTATTCAATTGGAAACAATTTAACCCCAAACCATTGGAGTGATCATACTTGCCGCCGAGCTTGACCCTCCACCGCCACCAGCCATTCCCCAGCCAGTTGACCTCATCATTTTACTGGTCATCGGAACAGGAATCGGTAAATATTGTATCGGGCTCATAGACGATCCTCCACAACCTCCTCCACAGCCTCCAGAGCTCATTCCCCATCCTCCACCGTCTCCACCTCCACCTCCATTACCACCACCACCACCACCTCCTCCTCCCCATCCACCACCACCACCCCATCCTCCGCCACCACTTCCTTTGTTACCTTCTCCACCGATGATAATAATTGTAGGTGAACTTCCGCCTTTTCCTTTGCTTCCTTTACCTTTACCTTTTCCCTTATCATCGTCATCATCATCATCTCCTTCATAAACCATCATTGGCATTCCTAAACTAATAGTAAACAATTAACAATTTAAAAACTTTGCTTCTCAATTAACCAAAACAATAAATGAAAAGATCATTACAAACCTCCTCCACTTCCCCAGCCACCACCGCCACCCCAACCTGATCCACCACCGCCACCATTACCTAGTAAATTACATCTTAATGGTTACATTAATTGTTCACAATTAAAATTAATCAACATCTCATCTTACCTGCACCAATGATGATCACATCGCCACCTCCTTTGTCACCTATGAAATATCATGGGAAAACATGATTAACACAATTAACAATAATCCTTGATGATTTTTTGTGATGTTTTTATCAATCAAAATTGAAACAATTAAAATTAATCACAGAAATTAACTAATTTACCTCCTGCTTCCAGTCCAATCGTATTTGTAGTAATTAAAATCAATTGAATCCAAATAATATTCATTTTGTAACGAGGAAAAAAAAAGAAACAATAATTTTAAGAAAAAAGTAATTAACAATTTAAGATAATCAGTTAGGGGATAGATAAGTTCACAATTAAAATTAATCGACTTTTCTTCATCTCATCATCACCACAATCAAATTAATAATAATCAATTTAATTGTCAAAACTTTTCTCTCAGATTAAGAATCAGCAAGAAACGGATAAGAAAAGATGATTACAATTAATAATTAATCTAAAGTTAATTGTTTCAACAGTCACTCATATTGACAATAGTTCATTTTAATTATTATTAATAAATTGTTCATCATTAACAACACTTAATTGTCTTAGAAATTTAAATTGTCTAATGATCACCAATTGTCTCCATTATGATTAAAAAAAACAATGAGTATAAATTAACTGATCCAATTAACAATTTCTTAACACTAAATACAGAAAATAAATTGTTCCAATTTTAACTGTAACAAATTAAGACTTAATTAATTGATTGTTTTAATGACAATTAACTTTTTTTTTTCAATTAATCCAAACTGTAGCGCCATCTCTTGGGTGTAATTGGAAAACTTATTAAAACAATTGAACTTGAATTTTTTATTTTTTATTAAATTAAATTAAATTAATTTTTCTCTTGGTTAATTTCAATTTAGGTGAAATCTATTGAATATGATTAAAGATGATTAATTATAATTAAAGTTGTCTATTTGTTGATGATTATGGTGAAGAGAGTAAATTGTTTCAAATAAACTCCCAACGAGCAAAATTAAGGTAATGATTAGGATGATGAGATCAAGTCAGTTAGTTAATTGTTGTCAAATTAACTATACACTTAACAACAAATAAACCTGAAAGTATTTACAAACAATTGATTAGTAAAGTATCTGATTAAGACGATAATCAATTTTCTGATTAGTTGATTGCTAATCAACAATCAACGTAGTTAATATTTTCATAGACTTTTTTTTCCTGATAAATGTAAATCATTTCATTACAAAATCAAAGGAGAGAGAGAGAGAGAGACAAAGTCAAATTAATAGACAATTAGTTTAAAATTAGTTTAATTGATCAACTAATTGTTATTGATTATGTTGGTTAACTAATTTTACTCATGTTTGATTGTGTTTTCTCTCGTAACAATTAATATACTGTTGCTAATCCGAATCAATTGGATTAAGAAAAAGTTTAATCTCTCATTTGTGCCATTTTTGTGATTTGTTTTGTTTTATTTTTCCCTGTGTGTTAATTAATCAATCAATCAATCCGGAGACAATTAACTGATGATAGTTATTAATGATCGAAACCACTCAAATAATAAGTGTGGTAAACAGACGAAAATATTTCCAGGTCGAATACGGAAACGGGTCGTTCTCAAAAATGGTTCGGTTAATTTATGCAAGGAACACGTTGAGAAACGGAGTCAACGTTATCTTCAGGATACTTTTACCACAATGGTGGACATTCAATGGCGGTGGAATCTACTGGTCTTCTCAATGGGATTTTTACTCAGCTGGTTAGGATTCGCCATCATTTGGTATTTCATCGCTTATGTTCACGGTGATCTTGAGCCTTCGGTTATTGCTGGTGGCGGTGGAAGTGGAGTTGGTGGTGGTGGTGGTGGTGGTGAAAGTGACTCTCAGTTAGTTGCTCCTGATTCTGTTTCCACTAATGGTGTTTTTCCTGTTGTTAAACCTTGTGTCCATGGGATCGATTCATTTACTTCAGCTTTTCTTTTCTCGATTGAAACTCAGCACACAATCGGCTATGGAGGTCGCCTACCAACAACTGAGTGTCCCGAAGCTTTAATCATCATGTATCCAATCAATAACCGGAGTAATGATTCAATGTTTTGTGGTTGGTTTTGTTTTCGCCAAATTATCTCGGCCCAAGAAGCGATCGCAAACTTTAATGTTCAGTCAAAATGCTTGTATTTGCCTTCGAGATGGTAAATTGTGTCTAATGTTTAGACTTGGTGATGTTCGTAATCGATCTCATATAATTGGTGCTTCCATTTCGGCTCTTGTAATTGATCGTAAGGTTACATCGGAAGGAGAGGTGATCCCTTATTATCACAATAGAGTTTCGGTTAAATTTGATAATAGCGATTCAAATGTTTTCCTTGTCTGGCCTGCGACAATTGTCCATGAGGTTGATTCAAGTTCACCCTTTTATTCAATGTCCGCTGATCATTTGGTTCGAGAACGTTTTGAGATTGTTGTTATTCTTGAGGGAACAATTGAATCAACTGGCCAATCAATACAAGCTCGAACCTCTTACCTTCCATGTGAAATATTGTGGGGCCATCGATTTGAACAGATGATCGGTTATCGTAAAGATACTGGACAATATCGAGTCGATTATTCAAAATTTAACAACACTTATGAAATCGATACGCCAACATCATCAGCTAAAGATTATTATGAATATCAAAAGTTTATCAATTCAACGAGTGGAAGAGGATTAATACCAATCGAAATGTTCAATGGTGCAGCGACAATTAACAAAATTAAAGAGGAAGAAGACAACAATCAAGCCTATTCACCTGATTCGGGAGTGTCGAGCACTTTGTTTATCCCAATGCATCAAATGCTAATCTAGAAATTTAAACAAATCAACAACAATTAACATCCGTTTAAGTTTCTAGATATAATTATTATGTTGCTAATGATGATGATGATGATTGTGTACATACAATCAAATTAGAATCCAAAGTTAATCAACTTGAGAAGTGAAAACAACAAACAAATGGATAACTAATCAAACTTATCCTCAAAGTGATTAATGTTAATCATTGGATTTTAATAGCAAACAATTTATATCCCTAAACTGAAATAGTTTAACAATCAAATGTGACAATCATCATTATCATCATAAATCGTAATCAACTATAATGATTAACAATCAATGATTAAGTTTCACTTTGAACAATTAATGTATTCATATCACAATCAAAGCTAATACTTTTGTAATAACATCAATTTAAAACAATTAACAGTTAAATTATCATGATTAAGGTAAATAATATTTATATATTTAAAAAAAAAAGGTTATTATGTTTTTAATTGTTGTTTTTGTAACTAATCATCACTATCATTAAGATGTTAATTGTTGTGATTGTTAAATTGTCCATTGATCTGTTTATATTTATATTATATATTATTAATAATACAAAAATCTTAATTGTAGTTGATTGATTGGGTAGTTTGCATCAATTGGCAGACATGATTAAGATTAACAATTAACTGTAACAAAACAAATTGATCATGATTTATGAATTGTTAAGTAGGCATTGACCCAGAAAATTTTCAAGCAATCAGTTAATTGTTATGATTAAGTAGTTAAATAACCTTACCAAGGTTCTGTTGATATATAATATATTGATTTTTGAATTACTCACCTTGATTATTGATTAAATTGATTGATAAAAATCAACAAATTGTAGTTGATTAAATATCATCATGATCATCATCATATTAGTTGATAATTTAGTAAATGATACACTTGAAGTAGCTTTAATTGTTACAATTTAATATAGTAAATACTGTTTAACCAATTCAGGTTAATTCAAGTTGAATTAATTACCGATAATTAATAATATAAATCAAGAGACTTTTGTTAATTTTAGATTAAATTAATTGGAAATCAATTAACTCTTTCCGGCTAAATAACAGAGCAATTAATTATAACCAATTTGATTCCGATTGATTAAAGATCAATTATCCAAGTTAAATATAAATACTACAGTTAAGACACTCGACTTGATTGTGATTAGTTTAATTGTTAAATATAATGGAAAGTGATTGAACATCCGGACAGAAAGAAAAAACTAAATCTAAATTAAGGTAAATGCTACAAATGCCCTTAGGGTAAATTGAGAAAAAAAAACTTTTTCTGTTTACAAATCAACTTGAAATGCGTAAATTGTTGAGCTAATTTGATTAACCAAAATGTATTCACAGTAATAAACAATTAACGATAATCAATATAATAAAGATGATTACTTGAATACGTTGCAATGTGATTAACTTAATTGTCCCGTAATAGATATTAAATTAAATTGATTAATTAGTAGTCGATTGCAATGAAATGAATTAACAATCAATTGAAACAATATAATTATTATCTCATTATTATTATTACAATGTATGTATTTTTTTGTGTGTATTTCATTTAAATCAAATTAATTTGAAATTATAATTATGCTTACAATTGATATAATTAAATTGTTAATTGTTGTCGATTGGTTTTTTTTTTAGTTTCTCATATAATTGATTAAAAGTTTTTCGCGGGAAATTTGGATCCATTGTAAATGCTGCAATTGGGAGGAGGAAGTGGGGCAAAGATTGATGGAGGTGGTGGTCATCGTGGTGGTGGTGGAGGTGGTGGTCATCATCATCATCATCCTGGTGTAATTAATTGTATTGTGTGTGTGTGTGTGTTTATAGATTATGGTGTTGATTTTGTTTACGAGATTACGATTTAAATTTAGATTGTATTAATCACTCAGTGATTAAATAATAGACGGAAAAAATGATAAAAGCTAAAGATATAATTATTACAAGGGTTGAAAAATAGAGACAGCATTTGGCTGAGAAAATTTTCCTTGGTGATAAACAGGATAAATTAGGGAAACGGAAATTAATCTCCGGATTAACTTTACAGTAAAGGATGAAAAATGTCACCAACCTCCAAAGGATAAGGTGAAATGTTAGAGCGGTAAAATGGGTTGAATAATCTTTATCATTGAGCTCAAATTTGAACATCACTACGGAGATCACATTATTATACTCAGAATCACTTTGATCGTTTGATGCAAAAGACGAACCAGAATCACTTAGACGGACACCATTCTCATCGGAGTGGCATCTTTTCTGTCCATAAATGGTTAATAGAATGGCCTCAAAAGCGAATCGTATAAAGGAAAGGTAAGTTATAAATTGTGCTCGACCCATTGAATTGGATCGTACAAAGAAACCAGAGAAAAGAAAATTGAATAACATTATAACGGTGGCCACGAAAATGGAGATGTTAAAATTGGTGGTGAAAATGGCTCCGATAAAGAAGCCAACCCCTTGGGCTATATAAGAGGCAAGAATTGATATTGAGACAAAGTTATTAAATCTTGATGACTTGGTGGCAAAGGGGATCGCGTCTACCCATGAATTCAGGCCAATCTGTTGGGTTGTATAATAAGTGAATAGGGAATAGAGGTAGGGAAGGATTAACTGAATCCAGAATTCTGTTAATGTTTTGGCCATATAATAGGAGGCGGTTGAATACCATCCGTTACGATGTTCATTCATAAAGATTTTTATCTCAGAGGGAAAGGTTAACACCGTTGGCATGAGAGCGGCAAACATGAGGAAAAGTAGATTGAAAAATAGGTAAGATATGTTCCTATCGATATTTGATTCCTCACGAAGACGGGAAAGTGGAACTTGCTCCGTACAATTGGGTCGATAATAGTATCCAGCTGAATTTACCTTAGGCAACCATCATCTACACCAATATTACCATCGTAAAGCATTGAAAGTAAAAGGGCAACGAATACATGTAAACCAACACGAATAAATAACCATAAAGGTTCACGACAAGTACCATGGAGAAATGAACGTCGAAGTAGATACATCATATGGCGAAGGCTAAGGTGATTCCGATTTTCTCTCATTTCTTCAACTTCAGACATTGAACTGGTATCAATTGAATCCATTTCGAATTCAATCAACTTGGCAGAAGATTCTTCTAATAATCGAACTTTTAATAATTCTTTCTCATCTAATGGTGTTACTATTGAAATTGTCGTTGACTCTTTGGGTTGTTGTTGTTGGTGATTTTTACGTTGTTGTTGTTGACTTGCAGGTCCATTTGGTGGTGATGAGGATGAGTATGAAATTGGATGAGATGAGAAGGATGTTGGTGGTGGTGAAAGATGAAGACAATTATTATGATTGTTGGTGTGATTACAGTTATTGAGACAATTATTTGTTGTTGTTGTAAAATGTGAGGTGAAAGGGTAAAGGTGACAGGAATTTGATGATAAATTGGTTGTCGTTTTATTGACTTGTGACTTGGCGACTGCTGATGAGGATTTAGATGATGATCGAGATGATCGATGGCTTCGACTAAAGCAATCGGTTGGTTCTTCTTCGTCCAAAAGGCAAACTGTATTTATCGCAGCGGCATCAATGATAACATCCGCTGGATTATGTCCATTTGGACAATTAACCTGGAATTGAGATAAATATGAGCGAAGTACTTCCGGTCTACCTTGGTAAAGACATTTACCTGCTCGTGAAAGAACGTAAAGTTGATCAAACAGTTTAAGAATCTTGTATGAGGGTTGATGAATTGTCGCAATTATGGCCATTCCATGGGCCATGCAAAGTTTTTGCAATTGAGTTAATACGGTAAAAGAAACGTTTGAATCTAAACCTGATGTTGGCTCATCGATGAATAAAATTTTAGGTTTAACCTCTGAGGCCAATTCTTGAGCGATAACCAAACGTTTACGTTGACCACCCGAACATGAGTGTACCAAAGTATGGCGACAATTACGAAGGTCAAGTTGATCAATAAGCTCTTCAACAACCTTGGACTCATTTTGAGCACCCTTTAAACGGGAAGCATAAAAAATGGATTCAATAACCGATAAACAAGGGAACAAGTGATCTTCCTCTTTTTGGGTTATAAATGAGGCCTTATTTGCTAATGGATTACGATAGATTTTACCCTTATAACGACCTGACCATGTACCAAATAAGCATTGTAACAATGTTGTTTTACCAGCACCTGAAGGTCCCATGATAGCGGATAGATCATGGAATCGAAAGACACCTGAAATGTTTCGTAAAATGGCCTTACGACATTTATGGGACATGGATTTAACCAGGAAACCGTCAAGTAGATCCATTGGTTTATAAACGGTAAGGTTTCGCCAGACAACGGCCACATGATTGTTTTCATCAACGGTGGTCACTTGAGGTGGACACATGATGTTATTTGTTGACGGTGGTGATAACTTTTTACCACTCAAATCAATCGGTTTGATTGTTGATGATCCTGATGATAATCCGTGATGCTGAATGTTGGTTACCTGTTTAGATGGTTGATTATCAGGATCAGCTGATTGGTTATTTAAACCGTTACAACAATCACGGTAACGATTTCCTATGGGTTCACACTTTCCCGTTACGTCACACGGGGTCACTTGTGATGACCTGGTAACGGGTGAACCGTTGGACTTTTGGGTATCGTCGTCGTGCCTTAAGTTTACGGTGAATCACAAAAAAAAGGTTCTCGGCGGTTTTGATTGTTGATAATTTTCGTTGATCAACTTTGATGATGATTTATGATGATGATGATTTAACTGTGAATTAATATAAATTGAAGAGAAGTTTTTTTTTCAGCTCTAATCAAAATTAATTGTAAGCAATTAAACAACAGAAACAACAGAAAAAAGTATTCACAACAATCAAACTGGTTAATTATGATTTCTAAATAGAAGTGATAACTTTTTTTTGTCTTCTGCGGATTCGATCAATGAATTTAGGTCAAAGTTAAGGTTAATTATTGATGATTAATTGTTGTGATTATATTATATGAGATTATGAGGATAAATCGTCAGATTGAACGTTATCCGTTTTTCGATGAGATGAAAAGTCGATAGAGGGACAAGATTAAGGAGAGAGATAGAAAGATGAAGAAAACGAAGGTAAAACTTAATTTTCGATTAGATTATGATTGCGAATATGATCAGTTGATTGTTGACTGTTAATTGTGGATGAAACTTGTAGGTGTCACGCTTGAATCTATCAAGATTGATTGTGATTTGCGAAAAATGTTAATCAAGGACTTGTTGATCTTATAGAATCGCCTTGTTGTTGTTGTTGGATTAGAGTAGTTGATTGATTAATAACAATAGTTAATCCAATGGTTTTGGTAATGATCATTTGTGATCTCCTCATAATAGTTATTGTTATTGTTAATCAAACTCAATTGAATCCAAATGAGTTAATCCACCAGAATTAATCAAGAGAATTGAATGAAAAATCCACCAAAGAAATTGAATTAAAGGCCAATAATTGAGGAAAATGAAACTTGATCAATGATCAACAACGTTAAGGTAACAATTAATAATCTAATTACACCTTAATTATCTGATTAACAATTAATTGTAAGAAAGAAAAGTTTTAAATTATTTGTTGATTGTGTTGATTTCGATTGATTGATTAACGTTCACAAATCGGGTGTTGACAATTGTTTGTTTATCTCTCCAATCTATGATTAAATATTATCACGAATTAACAATTTAATTAACAGCAACTTTGGGTAAGGTGATTAACAATTTTCGTTGATATTGTTGATTGTTGGACAATGTTGAATATTAATTGTTTAGAATTAGTTGATCACTATAAATGTATAGAGAAAAGAAAAGGTAAAATTTTCAGTTAATTAACTTTTTCGTATATTATCAATTTAGTTGAACAGGTAAAAGACAAATGATGACCAAATCAATGTTACACCGATGATTATATAAATTGTTGGAAACATTTAATTGTAAACAATTGGAGTTAATCATCATGATGATAATGTTAATTGTGATGTTTTCCATATAATTTTATTGGTACTTTTAACTAACCAAAAAGGGGATTTTTTTTCAATACTATTTGTTGATTCTTTGCAGAAAAATATAAATAAATTATTACCTGTTGTTGTTATTTTAACAATTACGTTAAAAAAAAGCCTTAATCAAGTCAATTGCTATGAAGTTATGATTAATAAATTGTTATGATAATAAAAATCACAGGTAACATGAAATAATCAAGGGTAACTAAACGATATAAACCTTGAGGTAAAAACTTATTATCAAGTTGACAATTAAAATGGTTAAATATAAACACTGGGAGTTAAATGGTGATAAAGGTAATTCAATGGTCAGTATAAGGATAACAATTGGTCAAGAGGGTTTCAAGTATATTCATATTCAAATTATTGATGTTTAACTACAATTGCTTTCTAATTGTTGACCAATTTTCAAAGGTTTTCAATTTATCACTTTCGCTTTCACTTTTTATCCGCATCACCAATTGAAAGGACAATTACTTTTTATTGTAAATGTTTATCTTCATCTTCATCATTGTTTTTCCTGATTCCTGATTTTGTCACCCTCTTGAAAGTATATTGACCATCCTCTTGTTAACCTATGACCTCTTTGTTTGTCAATCTAAGTACACACACATCTCTATACATGTATATGCATAAGTATTGAGTGAACTTGAATCAATACTTGATGATCAAAATTTGTCGACAGGTAAATTGTCATTGACAAGGTACAACAACAATCAACAGGTAAATGTCAACGCCCTGTTTGTTATATTACAGGTAAATTGTTGTTTAATTTAACAGCAATTTGCTAAAACAAAATTAACTAATTGATTTGCCATTTTGTTTTTACATTGTCACAGGGAAACACACAATTAATTATCAAACATGGTAAATATAACAAATCCATAAGCAGTAACAATAACAAATTAAATGCTAAATCACAATTAAGAGTCACTGATTAATAAGATTGCCACAGTTAATGGGTAATCATTATGAACAGCTAGTTAACAATTAGCTAATTGTGATTTTTTTTATAACATAGGTTTTTACTTGCTCTTAACAATTAAAATCTATCACCTAACCAACGTAATTAACATATAAGTTTAAAACCTTCATTCCCTCGATAAGTTAATTGTTATCGTTAATTAACTTTCTTCGTTTAATCCTCTCAACCATTAACCAAACAATTAACCATTAAACCATAGACAATTAACTGATTTACATGATAATAAAATCATCAGCATAAAAATAGAGTTCAATTAATTGTTAGTTAAAATGTGAAAAATAATTCAATTGATATAAATGAGAAAATGAAAAGAAAAACAAAAATTTCAATTCATTTTCATGGAGATAAAGTTCATTTACTCATTTCAATTGTTATGGTTTTTTTTCATGATAAAATTATTGTTGAATAAAAATTCAAGAAGCTAATCAAAGTGAATCAAACAATTTAAAGAGAGAGAGAGAGACAAAAATAAACAACAATTAGCAACAACAACAGCAACAATTAAGCATAACAATTAACAGAAAATAATAACATTAACTCACAAGAAAATTTTCATTTCATGATGAAAATTTTATATACCAAATGAGAAAGCAGAATGTTGTTAATTTTGTTAAGTGATTATCGTTAATTGTTCAAATTGTGTTATTGTTAATCATTGCAATTAACACATTAGCTTGATAATTAACAAATAAAACACGAAAAAAAAAATACAAAACTTGGCACAAAAGTATCAACCGATTACCTGATTATCAGTTAATTAATTGTCATGATGATGATGTGAACAAAAAAAGGTAAGAAAATTGTTTTTTTTTTCATCAATCATGAATCAGAATCTGAATCATCTCCATCATCATCAACAACTCAATCCTTTTATTCATATAAATATATATATATATTATACGATTAATACCATGTCCGGGTTGTGAGTATTTCTCATTATCAGAATGCAGAAAAAAGTTAACTTGAAATGCTTAAAACTATGACCGTTACCATGGTTACTTTCAAGTTTACCTCATCACCTGATTTCGGGTGGGGATTCATCAAGATAACTCTAGGAACCTTTAACCCCACCCTATCTGTTACTAATAACTATAACTGTATCTTAGCTTGGATTTAGCTGAAACTTTTGAAAATTGTTCCAAAAGCCCTCAGGACATGAACTCTCTCAATTAATATAATGATAATTAATAGCTGAATGAAGGTAACATCAGAATGAGAGGAGAAGAAGCAAAAAAAAAAGTTACTCAGATTGGAGACAGAAAAAAAAATTATCATTAACAAATTTTCATTCATTTTATTTTCCAAATCAAAGATCCGGTTATATGATTACAAGAAATTGAATGATAACCACCATGTCTCTGAACTGGTGATAATCAGAATTAATCATGACAAGAATTCAGCATGATTAGAATTTAAATTATTTTCCATTTTTTTTTCTCTCTCGAAACTTTTCATCTTTCCATTAGAACTTTTTTTTTCGACAAGGACAATATGTTATTATCATAATACTTGGAGACGAATTCAAATTCAGATCTGAACGAACATTATAAGAATCCAAGGTAATTAACTAATTAGATAATTGAACAATTGGATTCGATTATTTTCCCATTTTTTTTTGTTCTCCAAACAATTAAAAGAATCATTTGCAATCTCTCCGTTGATCACAATTTAATTAACTATTCCAATTATAATGACGATAATTATAATCGTCCAAAGTAAATTTCTAATCTTAAACATGTTGAAATGTGAATTGAAAAAGCACAATTTCAATCAGAAGTAATTAAAGTAAAATAAAAAATCCCAATCTGATAATAATAAATTAACATGATAAATATAAATCAAGGTATCATCTGAATTAATAATCATCATCATCATCACAACAACAACATGATTAAAATTGATTATCATCAACAGTTTAATATTAAAACAAGTGAGAAAAAAAGTGAAAATGGTTTCAAGTATAAAAAGTGATATTAATAGATGATGATGATGATTGTGGTGATTAAAGAGTTGGTGGTTAATTGTTGATTAACTGGCTACTAGTTTAATAATAATTGTCTGCAATCAAGGTGTGTGTGTGTTGATTAATCTTGGTACAATCATGATATGAGCATCCTTTTGATCATCATCATCATCATCATTTGGATTGAATAACATGATGATGATGCTGAAAAAAAGGTAAAGATAAATAAACTTTTCAGACAATTGGGTGAGATCAGACTGATTGTTGATCATAATCATGATGAAAATTAACAAAACTTAATCATTATTATCATTTTTAATACCTTTACCTCATCAATAGTTTACTAATCATCTGGTTAATCAATTGATTCAGTTTTTCAAGTCACATTTTGACAATTTAATAACTAACAAAATTCATGGTTCGATTTGTAAAAACAACAATCAACAGGTAAATAAAAAAATACCAACAATTAAAGTTAATATTATCGCTTTTTTTTTACTCTTAATGTTAATTGTAAATGACAATCCCAATTCATCAAACCAATAAAGTTTAAATTGCTGTCAATCAAATTTAATCAATTTTGATCAAGTTAACTCACAACAATCAAAGTTAATTCATTTTACCTTAACCTTTTTTGTTGTTGTTGTTACTGTTGTTAATTAACTTGATTAACCATCAAAAATTTAATGCTCATTTTAAACAATTAACATTGAATATTTTGCTTTCAACAAAATCATCAATCGTTGATTAACTTTATATAATTGTCATTGAAACAAAGATATTAGATTTAAATTATTGTGATAATTGAATTATTATAATAATATAATAAAAGTAATCAGCTTAATTGTGGAACCGTTAATTAGCCAAGTTTGAAATAAATGACAATAATTTCATTAACAATTAAGAAAAACAATAATTATAAACATTAATGTCAAGTAACAATTGAATATCAGCAAAAGTCATTGAGAAAAACAAAAAAAAATTGATTGTCAATGCAATTAAATGGTCAGTTGATTAAAACAATTGAAAAATTAATCTTATTTATAATTAATTGTCGATAAGTTTGATTGATGCTAATCAATTATGATAATGGCTACAAGTGAAAATTGTCATTGTAATTGTGATTACCTAGAAAAACAATTAATTGAAGAGACAATCAACTAAATCTATTAATAGTAATCAAAGAGTTGAGGTAGTAAATTGTTTGAACAATTAAATTTAAAAGTACAATTTAAAGTTGATTATCTTGAGTAGTTTTGTAAGGATAAGTTTTGGTTTTGTTTTTCACAATGAAAACAAACAATCAAATATTGTTTACATTGATCAACAACAATCAACAACAATCAACAGGTAAAGGGAAAAAAAGGTTGAAAATCACTTAAAATTAACTAACAATTTAATCACTTAATTTATCAGGTGAATTAAAGTTAATTTGTCAACCAATTTAAAAGAGAGAGAGAGAGAGAGAGAAAGAAAGAAAAACAAGTTTGATCATTGTAAGTTCTGGGTATTGATGAAGTTGAATCAATTTGATGGTTGATGTGATATTCAAGGAAGCGATTCAATATCCTCCACCATGGTAATCGGATGCTCTGTCAGGTACAATAACAGGTAACACATCCTTCTTGGTGTCTCAAGGTGGTGTGTGTGCTCAGTGTGTTCAGTATGCACGGATTAACACCGAGCACTTGAAAATTCAATCTAAGATGATATTGGAATGGTAATGATAATGGTGAATATTTCTCACGATTTTAACACTTTCAGCATTCAGAATACAGGAAATGATAATTCAGCAATACTCTCATGTCGTTGAACGTTTATTTATCATCATGATGATGCGTTTATCCACTTGATTACTACTACTACTACTACAAATTGTCACCGTTGTTATATCAATGACTATGCAAGTTGATTAGCTGATTAACTTTGGTAATA